AATGTCAAAAATTCTGTGTTTTTCTGTCAATATGGGGTGCTGTGTGTACATTAATGAGGAAAAAATGAACTTAAATTATTTTAGCATATGGCTGTAATATAACAAAGAGTGAAAAATTTAAGGGGGTCTGAATACTTTCCGTACCCACTGTATATAAAAATTCTATTGGCTTTTTGTCAAGGGAACTAGGGTGATGCTAAATTCTGGGTTAGCCTACAAAAAAAAAAACTTTATCCCTATGGCACTCTATTGACTCTCATGCCGTGCTGGAAAGGCTTTTGTCTTTGTGCTGCTACATGTTCACTTCCATTACTGACCATATCATGTTAACAAGTTAGCAACTAATATTTAGGTATATAAAGTTATAAACATGAATGACTAAAAAAAAAAAAAAAAAACACAGGATAGAATTACATGTTATATACACTGGACAAAATTATAAATGCAATACTTGTGTTTTGCCCCCATTTTTCATGAGCTGAACTCAAAGATCTACGAACAAAAGGTCTATATCTCTCATTGTTCTCAAATCCGTCTAAATCTGTGTTAGTGAGCACTTCTCCTTAATACAATAAAAGGCCACTCTAAAATGTGCAGTTTTATCACACAGCACAATGCCACAGATGTCACAAGTTTTAAGGGAGTGTGCAATTGGCATGCTGACTGCAGGAATGTCCACCAGAGCTGTTGCCTGTGAATTGAAGGTGCATTTCTCTACCATAAGCCATCTCCAAAGGCTTTCAGAGAATTTGGCAGTACATCCAACTGGCCTCACAACCACATACCACGTGTAACCACACCAGCCCAGGACCACATCCAGCATCTTCACCTCCAAGATCGTCTGAGACCATCCACATGTCACCCATTGAGCATGTTTGGTATGCTCTGGATCGGCGTATACGACAGCGTGTTCCAGTTCCTGCCAATATCCAGCAACTTCGCACAGCCAATGAAGAGGAGTGAACCAACATTCCACAGGCCACAATCAACAACCTGATCAACTCAATGTGAAGGAAATGTGCTGCACTGCATGAGGCAAATGGTGGTCACACCAGATACTGGTTTTTGGACCACCGCAATACAGTAAAACTGCACATTTTAGAGTGGCCTTTTATTCTGGCCAGCCTAAGGCACACCTGTGCAATAATCATGCAGTCTAATCAGCATCTTGATATGCCACATCTGTGAGGTGGATGGATTATCTCGGCAAAGGAGAAGTGCTCACTAACACAGATTTAGACAGATTTGTGAACAATATTTGAGAGACATAGGCCTTTTGTGTACATAGAACAAGCTCATGAAAATGGGGGCAAACACAAAAGTTTTGCATTTATAATTTTGTTCAGTGTAACTACAGTATGTTAATGTGCATGTTAGCATCAGTAGCAGAGGAAGTATTCACATCCTTTATTTTAAAGTACTAATATCACACTGTAAAAATAGACTACTCTGATTCAAGTACAAGTCCTGCATTGAAAATTTTAAGTGAAATCAAGTATCAACACAAACATGTACTAAAGTATTAAAAGAGGTAGTAGGCTACTCACTGCAGAAAAATTGTATACCGTATATTCTAGGTATTACATTAACAGCCTATCACTCATGCATTGATATAAGCAGGATTTGACTGGTGTAGTTGGCTGAGTGGTATACTGTGAAACTGGTATACAGCTGCAACTCTAATCCACACCACCTTCACCAATATGATGATGTGGTACATTCAAAAGCCAGTGGCTTAGGGTATTCAGAGCATAAAAACATTACTCAAACAAGCCATAAACTTTTACTTTTGCCATGTCACATTATCAGCTACCACCTCATGCTAAAATTTGACAGTTTGCTCTCAGCAGAAAATATAAAATAAATACAAGGTAAAAATGATTTTCCGGGATGATGCAGTGTTTTTCCAGGACCATGTAAAATTTATTTCAACCCTGGACAGATTTGTACAAAACATTTTTTCTGTTCTTTATTATCTACATCTAGTGTTCAAAATTCACAAGTGATAATCCATGAATATTCCTGACCTGAACTTCAACTTTGGTGGTTAGAAAACATAATTTTCCTGCTTGCCAAGCAAAGACTAAATGTCTAAACTCTTCTCAAAGGACAGAGATTTTATTGAACTCCTTCAGCAGTGTTAGAAAGTGTATTACTGACAGATATAAAGACACCTGGTGCTGCTGCTGCCTGCACCGCTGCAGGTACCTGCTCTACCAGCTGTGGTCGAACCTCGGCAGCCTGCTCAGCATTGGCCTGATGCTCGATCAACCGCACCGCTGTTAGAGCATCAGGTCCAAATGTATGAAGGTCAACTGATACTAATCGCACTAAGAGGTCTGACCAGACAGAAAGAAGAAAATATATAAGGATCAGGCACAGAGGAGCCTGGTTGAAATACGCAATTGCATTTCAGCTGTTTAGCAAAAAAAAACATTTTGAAACCCAACTAAAGAAAACAACCCTTTAGGATTTCAAGCATAGACAGCCATTTGAACCAGTTTCTCATGAATGAAAGTCTAATGTGACAAAACTCAGTAAACAGACAAGTTATCAAAACTCTATAGTCTAATGTGACAAAACTCAGTAAACAAACAAGTTATCAAAACTCTAAGTCCATGCGATATGAAATTACAAGCACTAAACTCACTTATTAATAGGGCTGTCCCAAATGGTAAATTGTGGCCTGAAACGATGAAAATCCCAATATTTACCAATTCAAAAACAAAAAACTAATTAAAGTTCTTGTGTAATATAATGTGAAAGATGACAGATGATGAATCTTCATAACCATGTGTACACCATCCTGCAGAATGTGCTAGATTTCCATCATTGATGTGAGATCAAGACTTTAAATCAGTGAAGATATCTCACTCTGTTGGAACTACAGAGAAGCATTCAGTTCAATCCAATTATTCAGTGGTGTTGCACAGTGATGTCTCTTTACCTCGTAAACAATTTTTGGCTAACAGCAGGTAGCAGTGTTGTCTGACAACAGCAAGTTTCATTTTGTCCTGTCATCAATTTAAGTCACTGAGTTTACATTAGTTGCTGTGTCAACAATTAAAATACTAAAACTGAAAACAGATTACCTACCCAACGAACGAATATCAGAATAGTCAAATATTTGGGTCCAGCTCTATTTTATGGAGTAGAACGAACCACAACACTCAATCAAAACATCATGCCAAGTAAACTTTAATGGTATATCTGAGAGCGAGAGAGAGAGAAAGAAAAAGAAGGAAAGCGCACCTATACTGTGGTCGACAGAAGCGATCTTGCTGCAGGGAACCTCTCCGAGCTGGGCCAGGAGGTACAACACCTCCAAGGAAGCCATGAGGAGCATGAGGTCAGGCAGGGTGAGGAGCATCATAACCTCCCTGTACGAGTCCTGGTCCACGTACTCACAGATTAGAACACCATTATCCTCTGCCTTGCTAAGATTGCCCAGAATCTCCATAGCTAACAACAGACATAAAACACACCAACATCTTAAAATTAATATGCTCCATACAGCATACTGACACTCTAGACCAGTGGTCCCCAAATGATGTATCATGGCACACTGGTGTGCTGTGGGGTTTGGTGACAACCATACATTAATATTGCAGGATACAACAATACAAAAAGTTATGAATTTTTAATTTACTATATCAGGACTTTATACGCATTTCCCAAAAAAATGGGGATGTAAAAGAACTGTTAGTAGACAGTATTATGAAAGCTACCTGTTATGGCTTCAGCTTGGCCATGGATGTCAACAGCCCTCAGCCCAAGTGCATCATCTGCCAGGACAAGTTAGCTAATGCTAATGTGGTACCAAGCAAGCTGAAGAGGCACTTGGAAACCAAATATGCCTTCTACACATGGCCTAAGACAATGAGATCAGCACCAGAGGCAGCAAGACTGCTTGTGGGATTGTGTGAAATTGTCTGGTAAGATAATGAAAATGATGGAGGAAAGCTATATGCTAGCGGAGCCTGCTGCAAAGTAGACAAAACCTCATGTAGTAGCGGGGACACTTATCCTCCCCACTTGCAAAAAAAAAAAATGCAGGTGTCATGCTAAGTCTAGATGCACTCTCTTCAATACCACCAAGGATGGAAAGAAATCTGTGAGCATTAGCAGGCATATGTTTCACTCTTGTAAGTAGGAAACAACAGAAAATGCTTCAAATTTGTTACATTTAACATGGTTTCTTTTACAATGTCAACCACTTATTCTCAATGCATCTCATCTTTACAATTTTATACTAAAGTTCTTTTTATTCCGACTCAGTGCATACTCTACAGTTTATATGCAAATTGGTTTTTATTCCAGGTGAATCACTCTTCATAGTTTTGTTTGTAAGTAGTGATTATATCTTGATGCTTCCCTCTTATGCCAGCTCTACCCCTCCTCTCTCACTCACTGATTTGTGACAAGCAAATAATAATAAATGATTATAGAGGGACAAGGCTGATATCTTGTGGTATAGAGGCCATCTTCCATGGACATGAATACAGGTGTGCCTTGAGATTTTGGCTTGAGCACAAAAAAAAAAAATTGAAAACCACTGCTCTAGATTATCAAAACAGCCAACTACTAAATATTCATCACATGGAGGCCAGCTGAACTTATGCTACAATGGCCCACCACAAAACTCACCTCTCATTTTGAGGAACCGGTCCCTAGACATCAAGCATTTGGTGATGGTGTGAAAGATCAGGTGGGTTGTCCGAAAGTCAACAGGATCCAGCTGGAGCTACAGAAAATAAGACAAAATTCATTCAATGGGCCCACCATCCAGTGAGTCAGCTGGAATGATCTGAAATATTTATCATAAATATTTTACAGACTGTCCCTCCTCAATACTAAGGCTATAGCCAGGCTGAGAAAGAGAGAGGAAAAAAAAAAGTACACTAAACTGAACCAGCAATGCATTGCTATGCTACTATGTTTAAAAATTACATCTCATCAAAACTCAGTAATGATGTGTGTTCCAGGTCAAAGCTTATTAGCAACCACAGAAAAACAGGACTTTACAGTATCATATCAAAATAACAAGTTCAATGCCCAAAACTCAACCATCCAATTAGTCACACCAAAGGCTTGGCTGATTGTATCAGGGACCCCTAACAATCTGTGAAAAGGTTCTGCATGGCCTTTTCCAGAGAGAGAAGATCAGGAAAGCAACGGGCCTAGACGGTGTAACACCCTCACACAGATCTTCAACAGAACACTGGAGCTGTGTGAAGTCCCTGCTTCAAACGTTCCACCATCATCCCAGTTTCCAAGAAACCTTCCATCAGTTGACTGAATGATTACAGACCTGTTGCCCTGACATCTCTAGTTATGAAGTCCTTTGAGAGACTGGTGTTGGCCCACTTGAAGAACATCACATAGCCGCTGCTGTCAAACCTCTGAAATTCACAGATGACAGCCATCGGTCTCATACGAGACTGTGACAGCAGGTTGAACAGCTGGCCCTGTGGTGCAGATGCAACAACCTGGAGCTGAGCATGTTCAAAACAATGGAGATGACAGTGGACTTCAGGAAGAGCCCCCCCACCATACTCAGCAGCACTCTCTCAGCAGTTCCTGGGCTCCACTATTTCCCAAGACTTGAAATGGACAACCAACATCAGCGCCATCATTAAGAAGGCACAGCAGAGGATGTACTTCCTCTGCCAGTTCCGGACGTTCAACCTGCCCCAGGAGCTGCTGATACAGTTCTACATCATCATTAAGTCTCATCGGGTCTGTTCTCTGCAATTACATTATAGCCTGGTTTGGTTCAACAACCAAACAGGACAGGAACAAATTCCAACAGACAGTTAAGAGTGCAGAAAGAATCACTGGTGGCAACCTGCCTTCCATGGAAGACCTATACACCTTATGGGTCAAGAGGAGGGCAGAGAAGATTTCGGCAGACCACTCACATCCTGGACACAAACTGTTTAAACTCCTTCCCTCTGCACAGCACTGCATTTTTGCATATTTAAGCATATCTTTTCATGTGACAACACTGAAGAAATGACACTTGCCTACAATGTAAAGTAGTGAGTATACAGCTTGTATAAAACAGTGTAACTGTGCTGTCCCCTCAAAATAATGCAAAACACAGCCATTAATATCTAAACTGCTGGCAACAAAAGTGAGTACACCCCTAAGTGATAATGGCCAAATGGGGCCCAAGTAACCGTTTTCCCTCCCTGGTGTCATGTGACCTGTTAGTGGTACAAGGTCTCAGGTGTGAAGGGGGAGCAGGTGTGTTAACTTTGGTGTTATCGCTCTCACTCTCTCAAACTGGTCACTGGAAGTTCAACATGGAACCTCATGGCAATGAACTCTCTGAGGATCTGAAAAAACAAATTGTTGCTCTACATAAAGATGGCCTAGGCTATAAGATTGCCAAGACCCTGAAACTGAGCTGCAGCACGGTGGCCAAGACCATACAGTGGTTTAACAGGACAGGTTTCACTCAGAACAGGCCTCGCCATGGTCGACCAAAGAAGTTGTGTGCCCATGCTCAGCGTCATATCCAGAGGTTGGCTTTGGGAAATAGATGTATGAGTGCTGCCAGCATTGCTGCAGAGGTTGAAGGGGTGGGGGGTCAGCCTGTCAGTGCTCAGACCATACACCGCACCAAATTGGTCTGCAAGGCTGTCGTCCCAGAAGGAAGCCTCTTCTAAAGATGATGCACAAGAAAGCCTGCAAACGGTTTGCTGCAGACAAGCAGACTAAGGATATGGATTTCTGGAACCATGTCCTGTGGTCTGATGAGACCAAGATAAACTTATTTGGTTGAGATGGTGTCAAGCATGTGTGGCGGAAACCAGGTGAGGAGTACAAAGACAAGTGTGTCTTGCCTACAGTCAAGTATGGTGGTGGGAATGTCATGGTCTGGGGCTGCATGAGTGCTGCCAGCACTGGGGAGCTACAGTTCATTGAGGGAACCATGAATGCCAACATTTACTGTGACATACTGAAGCAGAGCATGATCCCCTCCCTTCAGAGACTGGGCCGCAGGGCAGTATTTCAACATGGTAACGACCCCAAACACACCTCCAAAATGACCACTGCCTTGTTAAAAAAGCTAAGGGTAAAGGTGATGGACTGGCCAAGCATGTCTCCACACCTAAAATTGCTGCAGACAAGCAGACTAAGGATATGGATTTCTGGAACCATGTCCTGTGGTCTGATGAGACCAAGATAAACTTATTTGGTTGAGATGGTGTCAAGCATGTGTGGCGGAAACCAGGTGAGGAGTACAAAGACAAGTGTGTCTTGCCTACAGTCAAGTATGGTGGTGGGAATGTCATGGTCTGGGGCTGCATGAGTGCTGCCAGCACTGGGGAGCTACAGTTCATTGAGGGAACCATGAATGCCAACATTTACTGTGACATACTGAAGCAGAGCATGATCCCCTCCCTTCAGAGACTGGGCCGCAGGGCAGTATTTCAACATGGTAACGACCCCAAACACACCTCCAAAATGACCACTGCCTTGTTAAAAAAGCTAAGGGTAAAGGTGATGGACTGGCCAAGCATGTCTCCACACCTAAAACCTACTGAGCATCTGTGGGGCATCCTGAAACGGAAGGTGGAGGTGCGCAAGGCCTCTAACATCCACCAGCTCCGTGACGTCATCATGGAGGAGTGGAAGAGGACTCCAGTGGCAACCTGTGAAGCTCTGGTGAACTCTATGCCCAAGAGGGTTAAGGCAGTGCTGGAAAATAATGGTGGCCACACAAAATATTGACACTTTAGGCCCCATTTGGCCATTATCACTTAGGGGTACACTCACTTTTATTGCCAGCAGTTTAGACATTAACGGCTGTGTTTTGCGTTATTTTGAGGGGACAGCACATTTACACTGTTATACAAGCTGTAGACTCACTA